CATTTGAGCTTTAAAAAGATCTCATTTCTGCTGCAGCATAGGGCTCTCAGTGGCTGGTGAATTTTAATTCAGATAAAACTCAATTTTTTTCAGCTAATCGTTATTGCAACATTGTTGATCTTCTTATATTTATGAATGGAAATATACTCGATGAGTCATCTCCCCTTTGTCTTCTAGGATTAATTTTTACTTCTAATCTTTCTTGGAAACCATATATTAAATCTATTGCAAAATTAGCATCTAAGGTTGCATCTCTTTTTTGTGTTCGCCACTTTCTTACTCTGAAATCTATTCTTTATTTCTATAAATCTCTATTTTGTTCTTGTATGGAATACTATTGTCATATCTGGGGCGCATCTTCAATTGATGCCTTATCTCTTTTAGATAAGGTGCGAAAATTTCCTTTATAAACTTCATTTTTTAATAATTAATTAATGATAGATAAGTTTTTTTGTTTTTACAAAGATAGATTTAGTAGAAAAAATAAATTAAATAAGTAAATTTTTTTATCATTCATTTTTGTCGTTTTGAAAATATTTTGACCACATAAAAAGTTTAAATAACAAACTTGAGCAATAATTAAATTTAAAACTAAATAGTTTTAATGATAAAATCTTTTAAATAAAAAAACTATTAAATTTTACAAGCAATTTTTTTTAATATTTGAAAATCAATTGTGATAGCATAAATAAAGAAATTATTTAAAGAAGTATAGTGATACTATTTTTTTTTGTAAGATTCCTGCATAGCCTCTGGGACCAGCAGGTCAGTGGTGTTAGACATTAAGTGTGATAAGTATTAAAGTCACCAAGAAGTCACCACAATATTGGCAGAGGGATAAAAAGAAAGGGCTTGAGGGTTGTCCATAAATTAGGTCACTTTAAAGCAGGGGGTAGGGGGGGGGTAGGGAAGGAAGGGGGTCTCTGATTTTGTGATGCAACATTTTTTTTTAAGCTTTAAATCTAGAGAAGACTAGATCTGACCAAACCACAGCCCTCAGTTGAAAGTGTATCTACATGTTTATTGTAAAATCAGCTGTGCCTAAATCTTACTTAGTTGATGTGTAAACTCCTTTAACGGAGTAGTTACAGACTGTTACAATTGTAACAGTCAGAAAAATTTCACAAGAGAGGTTCCACTCCCTACCTCCCCCACCCCCTTTTCCAAAGAAGGTGATTTTCAAGATATAATCGGTTTTTTTACAAATTTAGTCAGCTAGTTGGGTATTTGACACAATTCAGTTGGGTAACTTTTAGTTTTGAGGACATTTTTTTTTCTTTTTTTTTTGTCAGTATTTTTTATTTAAAAAGAAAGTCAGTTTTTGTTAAGGTTACAACCCCCCCCCCCCCTCATTTTTTTGTAGAATCACCTCTGGTAACTGTCTATGTGCAGCGCACATTCTGCACTTTGACTATACATGGTCCAAGTTCAGAACTTTATTTAGTTGGTGCAAAAAAGTGTGCAGCAACAAAAAAAAAAACAACTAAAAAAATAAATAAAACTAACTGAAGAAAATTAAAAAAATTCGCCAATGTTAGTTTATACAATTTTACATGGAACTATTGGGGTGAAAAAAAAACATTAAACAGACTGAAAAGTAGTAATTAATGAACTCAAAGAATCTAAGAAGTTTATAGACATTATCATATTTAAAAATTGTTTAAAAAAACTTTTTAGGTGGAGGGGGGACATGAAATTGTTGCATAATATTGGGGGGGGGGGAGGGAGGTTAATAATATGTTACAATGCATTACAAGAAGGAGGGGGCCAAAATATGTCAATAATTGCGTGATGTAATTTATGGACGACCCCTTGATCAATTTCATCAGAAATTACATCTAAAAGAGTGCAGTCTTGAGAAGGTGAACAATAAAGAACAAAAAAAAAGGTGATAGGGTAAAAAAGGGTAAAGAGGTGTTAAACGGAAGCACATAAAAAAATGGTCGGAGGAATTAAACCTGATTTCTTGACAAATAGTTGAGTTGATGCGTAAGTATATGCCCAAGCCATACATGTGACTATTGGAGTTATTGTGTATCAAAGTATAGTAGCCATCAATAATGAGATCTGAAGAAGAACTAGCTGAATTCAAAATAGTCTCACAAGGAGCAACCAAGGCTAGTAAATTTTGCAAGAGGTAAGATTTAACTTATGAATAGTTACTTTGAAAACCACGAATAATTGGATCTTTTAATGAATAGACAAGATGTTTTAAGTCGATTGTCAGACGCTAATATTGATGAAGGTTTGGTAGCTCTTATTTCTTTGCATTATTTGCTAAACATTGATATCAAAGATGTTATGAAATTTCTTTTACAATATTTTAACGAATTATATTAAAGGAAGGACAGAAAAGAACTGATTAAAATCATCTTTGTATTCTCCAAAAATCTTATACAAATGTTTGGTTAGGGGTTCTTTACCAGGACATTTATTACACTATGCAAGCATGCATTCTTTGTTTTCTGCTGAGCAAACAGTTTTCAAAAGTAAATCCTTATACATTTCACCAATATTTAAGGCATCCAATACAGCATTTTGGTGATAAGAACAAGCACAAACAGAATGTGTACCACTTGCACTTGACAAAATACATAACTTTGGTCTTAATAAAGCAAACTTTGAGTAGCTTATTTTTATTTCTTGATTTTTTTCTTTGTACCATACATAAAGTTCCTTTAAATTACCCAAAAGTAGCTTTTTTTGTTTATGAAAGTTTTTTCCGATGCTCAAATATTCTTTTTTTCCAGACCTAGTTTGACATGAATCACTTGAGTATTAAAATTTTTTATCTTTATACAGTGAAAAAATAGCTAACAATTGTTTTTCTTTAAAAATTTGTCTAACCATCTTTGTCTGGTATTCGGTAACTGCAAAATTATTTTGTATTTTTAATATTGACCATTTTGGGATGCCAGTGTGAGAAGTTGAACTAAAGTCCTTTTGTTGGAACAGAGAATTTTCTCTTTTATCAAGCTCATAATTTCATCAAAGTTTTCAGCTTTTTTTTTTCATGCTATTTCTTTAATGACACATTTTTTAGGGAATATTGACATGACTTTCAACTTTTCTAGTTATGTTATTTGCTATTTCGTTGATCCATGCAACTTTTCACTTTCCTTCTGAGAGTATATGTTTTTATGATTTCAAATGAGATTTTCGAGATGTTTTAAAATTTTTGAGATCTTTGTTTATCTCCTTTCTTTTTACTTTGAATGATGACATATCAAAATCCTCATCTTGATCACTGTGACTCTTCTGTAAGATCTTCTTTTCTGGCAATCTTTTGTTTACTACGTTTGCAGAGTTTTTTCCCAGGAGCAATATTCAAAATACTTTTATTCATAACTTATGACTTTTTTAACTTCAGCAAAGTTTTCTAAAAATAATTAAATTGTATAAAGCTCTTGTGTATATTTGTATAAAACATTATTTTGTTATGTTTTAGAAAATATAAAATTAAGAATTATATATAATAATAAAACATTTGAATTTTACAGTTTCTTACTATTGATTTTCTTTGCATGTTGATTAAATGGATTGCAATAAGCTTTCTGCCATATGTTGTACATTTTTAAACATTTTGTTTTTTCCTTTGTTTGTTTCCTTTGCACATAATGTTGTCAAGTTTGATAATTCAATGTTACAGTGTAAAAGTATATAATTTTTTCTTCATTGCTAAAAGTTTTAATAACATCTTGTTGGCCTTCACATGTATCTGATGTCACTAAGCCAGTAGAACATATCTTAATAAGTTAAATTGATATGAACTTTAAGAAGTATTTCTTAAAACAAATTAATACGAATTCTTTTTTCCTACTTATATCAGTAAAAAAAAAAGTTCTTAATGTAAAAATGATTTAAACCTTCTTTAGTATAATGCTTTTCACTGATATATTTAGTTTATTTTATTCAAATAAAATTTTACAATTGAATGTTGTTATATAACTGTACTTTTTATTAACTATATAATTGCCATAATTTAAATTCAAATAATCATCAATATCACACTCTGTCAGTTTTTATATAAAAGCAAAGTGGAATGTGTTTTTTAGTTGTTAAGATTTTCAACTAATTATGTACAGACATGGAGAAAACTCCAAACAGTTACATGTTCATGCTTATGTCAAATAAGGATGCTTTGCAAAAAATTCCAATGATTGGAGCCTGAGAACAAAAATAAATAAGTATGAGGGGAGAGATTACCTAAAAATGTATGGATGCATTTAAGGGGGAGGGGTGTTAAAGACAGTGAGTATGTATGCGGTTGAATCTCATGCTCTATCTCTCCTAAAACTTGATTTTCTTTTTTGTTAAAAAAAAAAGCGAAAAAAATTTTAAAAAATCAATATGTTATTTAATATTTGACAATATTATATATTTTATAATATATTTGACTAAAAGTATTTTTGTTTTTTAATGTTATAAAAAATTTAAGTATTGATGAGGGGTTAATTTTGTAATAAATAATATATGCAGAGTAGGATTGATGAGGGGTTGATTTTGTAATAAATAATATATGCAGAGTAGGATTGATGAGGGGTTGATTTTGTAATAAATAATATATGCAGAGTAGGATTGGGGTCTTTGAAAACAGTTGAAGGGAGGAGGAAGAGGGGTCTTGAATTAGTGTTTTTTTTATTTATGAATTCACCCTAAAATGAAATCTTAAGCAATCATATTTTGATTTATTTTAAACATTTAAAGTAATTTGTTTTTATTTTTTATTAATTCACCCAAATAATAACCAAAATATAAAATATTGTTTATAATTCAAATATTCAATATAGCTTTAAATTAAATTTTTTTAAATTATTAAACTTCGTTCATAACGATTTAGCTCAGAAAAACAAAGTGAATGAGTGAACCCAATAATACAGTATTAACGTTTATGTTTGCATTATTTATTTTAAATTTAAACATTTAAACATACCATTTGTTTTTGAATTACGTTTTGTACTACAAACATTACCTTTTATTTGTACATTATATGAATTTAGATCTTTGCTCATTGCCTGGAGTTGGGGCTAAAGTTGCTGATTGTGTTTGTTTAATGTCTTTGAACAAGAAAAATGCCATCCCTGTAGATACTCACATGTGGCAGATTGCATCTCAATACTATATGCCACACTTAAAAAGTAACAAAACTCTCACAAGCAAAGTGTATAAAGATATAGGTATGTACTTTTATTGATATTTTTATATCTTTAGGAAAAATAAGAAAAAGTTAAAAGTATTGATTAGTGTATGATTAATTAGTGGCAGAAAATTGAACCTGTGTAACTGTGTAGTAGTGAAGTTCTACTATACTTGTAAAATTGCTTAAACAAGGTTTAAACAAGTTATAAAAACTGTAAATTGTTGAATCATTACTAACTCGATCTCTGAAAAAAAATATTGTCACCGCGAGCCTTCTCAGGAGACATGTGTGGTTTTTCGTATCGTTCGTCCACGCATAAGTATTTTATTTAGACAACTTGGGCACAGCGGTTTGGAAGTTTTATTATATTAGGCATTTCAATACTTTGCGGGAAAAACTAAGTTTCAAAAACAAGGAAAGCAAAAATAACAAAATAGGAAATAAATTTAAATTAAAAAAAATAATAATAATAATAATTCGAATAGTTTGTGTACTGTTTTTATTTTCGTTTTTTTAGGTGTTTGTTATTTTTCAACTTGCCTAATCCAATGAAAGTGGATTAGGCAAAGCAAAAAAAAAAAAAAACAGCTTCAAGTAAACATTAAAAAGACTGATTTTCCTATATTTTATTTTTTCTTTTAAAGAGAAAAGTGAAAATATAAATAGCTATCTGTTTGTAAAATATATTTGTATAATTATAATGTAACAAGCATGTATTGTCCCTATATAAATAAAATATAAAAATGTTTTCAAGTAAACTTTATATACACACCATTAAATTTAAATAATAAATTTTATTGTTTTAGAGGAAACTAATTAAATTTTATTGTGTTTTAAAAAAATCACATTAACACAATTTAATAGACTGGACTGTTTTTTATTTTTTTTTAAAAAAACAAAAACATTAATTATTTTTTTTATTTTTATTACATTGACTGACAAATAGGTAGAACCTGCAAAGAGTGCCGCTAGATTGACTGAGAGTTTTAGTTTGGAGAAACAATCTATCAAATAAAAAATATGTTATTTTAGACTTTTAACTTTTTTCTGGTCTTCTAATTTAATTACAAAATATTATCATGGGAAAAATTAAAGATGACCATTCATGTGTGTATGTGTGTATGTGCATATATATATATAAAAAGTTCAAAAATTAAAGTTTATATACAATACTGAATTTATTAATAATTTTTAAACTAAAATAATTAGAAAATAAATGGACATAAAATATGGGTCAGACAAAATAACCGATTGATGTTGTTTTTTAGCAGACAAGTGCCGGATAATGTCAGATGTCTGGCGCTTATATCGAGCCCTGTTTATATACGGGAATGCGGTAGTGGTTATACGGGAATGTGGTAGTGGTGTAGTGGTAGAATGCTCGCTTCATAAGCGAGAGGTTTCGAGTTCAATCCCCACCATGTCCCTGGTAGTACCGCGCTCAACTCGTTTCTCCGCGCAGCGGCCTTGTTCATCAAGGTTCGCGTTTCGGAGTTATAGAGTTGTGAGAGGGTTATATAACCACAAATAAGTAGCCTCCTTGTCTGTAGTGGCCTTCTCGGCCTTGAGGAGGTGAATTAACAATATATATATATATATATATAATATATATATATATATATATATATATATATATATATATATATATATATATATATATATATATATATATATATATATATATATGTATATATATATATATATATATATATATATATATATATATATATATATATATATATATATATATATATATATATATATACACACACACACACACATTCATAGGTTTTAACAGGAGTAAACAAGTGCACTTATTATAATGGACTTGGCGAGCTGCACAGGCTGCCCTCCTAGATTGTATAACGTCGGCTTTTTTGAGGACAAAAATTTAATGCTTTAATAATAATTTATAGATATTTCCACTGAACTATTATTTTGTGAAAGTTTTAATAAAACATCAATATAAAAATACTGTTATATAATATTTCCTCATTTTGTAAAAACATTTATTTGTGCTTTTATTTTTATTCATATGTCTAATATTATAAAAAGTTCATTTATTTCTCCTCTACTGTGTAAATAAAAATGTCATTGAATGTGAAAATTTTGATGATTGCTCTATAATAACAAGTGAGAGACAAAATGTTTATAATAACAAGTGAGAGACAAAATGTTTATAATAACAAGTGAGAAACAAAATGTTTATAATAACAAGTGAGAGACAAAATGTTTATAATAACAAGTGAGAGACAAAATGTTTATAATAACAAGTGAGAAACAAAATGTTTATAATAACAAGTGAGAAACAAAATGTTTATAATAACAAGTGAGAAACAAAATGTTTATAATAACAAGTGAGAAACAAAATGTTTATAATAACAAGTGAGAAACAAAATGTTTATAATAACAAGTGAAAAACAAAATGTTTATAATAACAAGTGAGAAACAAAATGTTTGTAATAACAAGTGAGAAACAAAATGTTTATAATAACAAGTGAGAAACAAAATGTTTATAATAACAAGTGAGAAACAAAATGTTTATAATAACAAGTGAGAAACAAAATGTTTATAATAACAAGTGAGAAACAAAATGTTTATAATAACAAGTGAGAAACAAAATGTTTATAATAACAAGTGAGAAACAAAATGTTTATAATAACAAGTGAGAAACAAAATTTTTATAATAACAAGTAAGAAACAAAATGTTTATAATAACAAGTGAGAAACAAAATGTTTATAATAACAAGTGAGAAACAAAATGTTTATAATAACAAGTGAGAAACAAAATGTTTGTAATAACAAGTGAGAAACAAAATGTTTATAATAACAAGTGAGAAACAAAATGTTTATAATAACAAGTGAGAAAATGTTTATAAAGACTTTAGTGATTAAACTATGAATAAATTTGGATTTTCAGATTTTTTTAGATTTTTTTCTTTTTATTAATTCAATAATTCTTTAAGAAGAAAACTTCAATAATTCTTTAAGAAGAAAATACAAAGTTAAATTTGTTTGTTGCGTTCTAGAGAAAACAAATTTTTTCAGTTACATATTTGTGATGACTTTTCAGCAATCTAACCTAATAATGCTCAGTGTTAAAGTCTTGATTTTAAATTTGTTTTATGTTTTTTCTTTTATTTATCAAGACAAAATAAAACTGTTTGAGCATTAAATTGTTTAAAATTTAAAATTTTAGTTTATGTTTAGTTATTATGTTTAGTTGGAAGAAAATAATAGAAATAAATTTGTACTTAAAGAATCAATGTACATATATATATATATATATATATATATATATATATATATATATATATATATATATATATATATATATATATATATATATATATATATATATATATATATATATATATATATATATATATATATATATATATATATATATATATATATATATATATATATATATGTATATATATATATATATATATATATATATATATATATATATATATATATATATATATATATATATATATATATATATATATGTATGTATGTATATATATATTTATATATATATATATATATATATATATATATATATATATATATATATATATATATATATATATATATATATATATATATATATATATATATATATGGCCACGGATATTTTTAGTCGTTACTTATTTCTATTATAAATGATATAAATAATAATATGTATATATAGTGTTGTACAGTTGGATTATGGTCAGTCGTCTGCTGGGCGACTAAGAGTAAAAATTTAGATAACATTAGTCTCCTACCAATGTTTTGACTTTTCCATCACCATTTTTTTTAAAATAAATTTTGCATTTGGAGTATTTCTTGTACAGTTAAGTCTTTTTTTAATATAGTGCTATGGTTAACTAAAAAATTAAAAAAAAAAAAAATTTTTGAAAACCAAAATACTTATTAAAAACTATTGGTAATATTCTAATTTTAGAAAAAGCACACTTTGGTATGAATGACTAAAGTCATTCTCACTTGCTTCACAAGTTCACAAAAATATTTTTAATTCAAATGACTTTTAGGCAATAAAACAAATAACAAATTTCAAAAATGAACCAAATTGTATTTTTAAAGGATAAGAGATATAAAAATACGTAGATTTATATTTTTACGTAGATATAGGAAATAATATCTTAATCAAATAAAGAGAAATACTTTTTTTTTACAATCATCCTCCTGGCAAACAATGCATTTAGTAAAATCAAAAATATAATTTTTTTCTTTTTTTTCCTTCTTCGCCCTCCATTTGTTAATAATATTTAATATGTGAAACAGCAATAACACAATAAAGAAACGTTTTTAAAAGCCAAAAACGAAAACAATTCATTCGAATTGTTGCATTCTTATAGGCAGAATTATGTAAAAAAAACAAACATCAAAACATTTGAAATAATATAATCGTCAAGTATGAAATATTCTATTTCATCAAAACAGGTATGTTGTAAAAATCCAGAGGTCAAAAAAAATGGTCTAAAATTTGTTTTAAATAATATAAATTTTATAATAACTAATATTTCTTAAATTATAATAAAAAACATAAAATCTGTGTTCAAGAAAGTATTTTAAAAATTATTAAAAATAATTTTTAAAATACTTTTCTTTAAAAATAGATAAAAACATATTTACCCCAGTATCTTTTTAAGTAAATACTTTCAACATATGTTTTTTATATTATTTCAAATACCTGATTTATGCTCTTTTGATTGGTGTAAAAAAAACATGAGAAATAAAATAAAATATATAGTTATATTTGTAAAAATACCCCTGGTTTACGTTCCTGTTGAAAATTTAAAGTTGTTTAATATATATATATATATATATATATATATATATATATATATATATATATATATATATATATATATATATATATATATATATATATATATATATATATATATATATATATATATATATATATATATATATATATATATATATATATATATATATATATATATATATATATATATATATATATATATATATATATATATAACTGGAAATTATTTATTA